AAGACGACTGGATCAAGGTAATATCCTAAATTTTAGAAAAAAAGATCGCAGGGGGATGAGAAAGCAACAATCAGAAGCCAAGAGGAGACGTCTTCAGTGAGCCTAATCATAACAAGTACAACCACGACATTTGTGGGTTGGCACACAAGAGACTAGGGCGTAGGAAGTGATGGACATGGTATTACAGATAGAAACAGGAAAGCCTAAGGCTATTTAGCTAACAAGAGACGTGTTTGATCATAAACGTGATCCTTGAATCACGACTATTGTTAGCTAACTAGCAAAGCTTCCACTGTTTCTATCCTCTTTCTATCTATGATACAAAGTCTATGACTTCCTATGCGCTAGTCTCTTGTGTGCCAACCCACAAACATTGTGGTGTAACATTGAACCCAATCAAAGCAAGCAGTACCACAAAATTTGTGGTTTGGCACACGAGCGACTAGGACATGGCAAGTCATAGACTTGGTATTCCGGATAGAAAGAGGATAGAAACAGTGAAAGCTAGAGCTAGTTGGCTAGCAATATTCGTGATTCAAGGATCACGGACAGAAGTGGCCTGACACGTACGCCAGAGACTGCACATAAAATAAAGTAGTATTAAACGAGTAGGTTTGTTGAAGTTAGCACGTCTGCTGTAAAAGGAGCATAAGAGATGCTATTGAAACGAATAGCTTAGGAAATACGTTGAATGTGAGGAACTGTGGCATACAGTTGAGTAGGAACTACTTATGTTTGATTGATAGATTGAAAGAGAGAGAGGGTGTTGAGCCGCCGTCAAAAAGAAGGCAACTTATGTTGTTTGCTTAGTGATGGTTCTAGTTTCACTCACATTCGTCCAACAACAACAAAACCAGTCATGTCAGATCACGCAACCCCAGTCTTGCCTTTCCTTGTGTGGTTAAACGTTAATGACCCTAGACTGAGAGTTTAGGACAAGTGGTTTCGTAACTTGACTTACATGCTTACAAGCCTATATCTCATTATCTCAACCATACTTGCTTACGGACTTACGCAGTCTCGGTCTGAGCTTTCTTTTGGGTCATTAATCCTTGATGAATAGAGCCTGACATTAGTGTTTTGATAAATCTGATTTAGTACAGGTATTGCGAATAGACGCTAACACACACACATACATACACGCACACATTAGAGCAAAGTAGCAGGACCAATATGAAAGATAATTAGCCAAATCACTTTATATCCATCTAGGTTTTTAATTTTCTTTTGCTTAATTGAGTCTATATAAGAGGTAAGATAGATTTATGTGTATAGCTGAAGTTTCCATTTCATTTCACATAGCCTTGCGTTCTCAAAGGTGTTCTTATCCAGGGTGAATTGTAAGTTTGTCCTATCAACACCCCCAGCGGAAGTCGAACCGTGACAGTGCAGAATGGAAGTCCGACACGTTAACCACTTGGCCACATTTCAACGAGTTCCCCTGGGTCACAGGGCAGATGTCAATTTCAAGGTGGTACAGTCGATGAAGCAAACGTATTTTTGCTATAACAATAGACTGCATTACTTATTTTTCGTATATAAGTAGAGTTTCGAGACTATCAGTAAATAAGTAATATGACGTGTATTCACTATATTTCATTTAGGCTGATGAGGTACTGGTAGTTGAATTTTCACACGATGATATGAGTAGAGCTGATGCCACGAAACTCTACTTTCATAGGAAAAATAAGTAATGTAGTCGATTGTTATAGCAAAAATGCGTTTGCTTCATCGACAATACCACCAAATATTGCCATATGGGAAAAGGCCTGGCCTTCCTTGAAATTGACATCTTCCCTGTGACCCAAGGCGCTCGTGGCAATGTGGCTGAGTGTTTAACGTGTCAAGCTCAAATGTTGTATTATCACCGTTCGAATCCGGCGGGGGTGTTGATAAAACGTGGGTGAGATCGAAACTGCAGTACACCCTGAATGAAAACCACTTTTGGGAAAGCAAGGTTATATGAAATTCAACGGAAATGGCAGTTATACTTACATCATTGCGGAAAAATTCTACTAGCAGTCCTTCATCACCTTAAACAAAATATAATCAACTCATTTCATAATAATGTTTTACAGATTGTCTCAAAACTCTACTTACATACCAAGAATAGGTAAGATTGAGCCGGATACTCTTCTTGCCCTAGTGTTAACGTGAAACTTTTACAGGACTGAAGCCCAGCTATGATGGTGTCCATCAAACGATGAACGCAAGCTAAGCCCGTTTTCACCCGAAACGAGGGAGAAGGTTGCGTGGGCTGCGTCAACCTGAAGGTCGTATAAAAGCCAAACGGCTGCAGTACAACGAGATTCATCCGTCCTCATCTGGTGAGATCGACCTAAGAATCTCTTCTTCATGAACTTGCAGATAAAATGAAAGTTCTCCCAACAATTTTTTCTCAGTTTATCTTCGTGTCTATAAATGCTTTACTTGTTGAAAATTCACTTACTGATCCGACAGCTTTTTGCGCAGTCTAAGCTCAATTAAGTTCGTATTTAACCGATTTGCTTAAAGATGGACTGCAGGTTACATTCATTTTGATTCGACCTTTTTGTATTTTATCCTATAGATACTCCCATCATCATCATCTGCTCTTCAGCAAATACAAGAAATTACAAAAGATAGGTGAAGGAGCTTACGGCGTTGTCTTTAAATGTCATGATGTCCAAACTGGCCGTCTGGTGGCAATCAAGCGGTTTGCCGGCACCAAACACGACCCGGTTATCCGAAAGATAGCTCTCAGGGAAATACGAATGCTCAAGGTGAGAGATTGCTAAGAATTCGAGATTAAGACTGATGTCCACACAATTGTGGAAGTTTTTTTCTATCGTAGCAATTAAGACCAT